CGACGGCGCGCTCCATCACTGCGTTGCTCCTCTGTGCCGTCAACGGTCATCATCACTCCAACAAGGGTCCGAATGCCAAAGCTCAGTCTGCTGCCTGTTTCTATGGTTCCAGTGGATTCAATAAAACATGTTTGAAACTCTGCCAGGAAGCCTGCAGCTGCCGAACTGTCAAAATGACTAAAATAACTGCAAACACTCTCACCTATGACCTTACAGACCTCTGCACCCAACTAGAACCACATATAGCAGAGGTGTCAAACATAAGGCCCAGGGCCCTGAATCAGCCCGCTGGATGTGAGGGAATGATGGACGTTTGTATTCCTGTAAGTTTTACAAGCTCCATTTTTCACTATTGACTGCAGAAATGAAGTTTTTGTGCAAACGTTTCTGTAAATTCACAGAAGCTTGTTTGTAATAGCAGCGCGCACAGACACACACACACACAGACAGTGTGTGAACAGTTATTTCAGCTAATGCTTCGTGTGCAGGTAAACTGGAAGGTGTGTGTGTGTGTGTGTGTGTGTCAGCGTACAGGGTCTGGATCATCTCCAATGATAACACACACACACACACACACACACACTGACAGGTGTGTGTACCTGGCGGGCTGTTCTCGTCTGCAGGGACGCCGTGACAAAGCGCCAGCGTCTTCGCCTCCTTCCCTCCGAGCTCGGCCCGACCACGGGGGCTCTTCTGCTCCTTGCTGCCCAGAGGAGGGGGGCTCTCCTCGGGGGATGACCCCAGCGATGTCCCCCCCTCCACCTCCAGAGCCTGGAGCTTCTGCAGGGAACTCTGCAGGCAGAAGCAGAACATGCCAGACACGCTGGTCCAGAGATTAACCAGGTTCCAGGCGCAGTGTGTCTGTGTGTGTTTGTGTGTGTGAGGTGAATGTAGGGCAGTGAGGCACTGTTACAATAAAAGACTCCAGATATTAGCCAGATCTCTGAAACGTCACATGTGGAAGCACAGAGCAGGAGCTTAGTGTGCAGGAAATAGTCTTATCCCACAGTTTTAAAGCATAAGTCAATGAGCCTCCCTTCCAGGAATTAGACCAGCACCATCCAGAAAAACACGTCTCCCTCCAGCTCTTCCAGATATTAGTCACGTACAGACAAATGCAAATGCACACACTCTCCAGGAGTTAGCCAGTGCAGGTGAAATCCACAGCATGCAGAAATATTCACTCAGCTGATTCTCTCCCACTCCAGGAATTAGCCAGCCCCGGGTGGACGCCGCTCGGCAGTGAGAGACCTGCAGGACGGGTTTGAATCTTCATCCTCTGCCTCTGCACGTTCACTGATGATGATGATGATGATGCTGGTATCCTCCCTCACTCACTCCGTCTGCAGCTCTCGCCCTTCCTCCCTGCTTGGATTACTCATCCTCAGGCTCGTGAGGAGAGGAGGGAGCAAGGATGCAAGAGGAGGAGGAGGGGGGAGGGATGTCTGCCCTCTCTCTCCCCCTGAGGAGGAGACGGCTGGGTGAGAGACATATGAAGACAGGAGGAAGCCGCTCTCTCTCTGGTCATGAGGCTTCTCCCGCATCGGTGGGGGAGGGGCTTCCTGCTGACGTCATCGTGTGTGAGTACGTGTTTAATTCTCATTCATAAAAACAGGAGAGGAGGAAGAGGAGGAGCAGTTACGTGCTTCTCCTCACACATCCAGAGTGACACGTCCCCGCAGCGTTTCTATGGAAACACTGCATGCTGTAAGAGTTTGACGTTTCAGGCGCTCACACCGCGACCGTTTACAGACTGTACATAAAAGACGGAGGCTCGTCAGCCTCTTCCTGTATCATCCTGCATCCATGGCGACACCTGCCAGTCACAGAGGCCACGCCCCCAACAATTGCAAACTTTAAACAGGTGAGTCACACAAACATACAGGTGTGGTGTTTATGTGTAAGGCCGTAAACGCTGACTCGCTGCTGGCAGGCGTGGCGCTTCAGTGTGACCTGAGGCCTTCTTATCCAGGTAACATCAGAGCACGTGAAGGTGCTTCATTTCTTTCTGGGGTACATCGCCATGGTAACCCAACCTGGGCCCAGCACCAGGAAGAAGGTTAAACGTGTTCCGGTTATCTCCGTCATCTGGATTCACGGATACGAAGTCATATGAAAGGGGCGGGGCCAAAAGCTTCTAACCCATCAGAATGATCACATTATGACGGTCGTCCACCCACCTCCATCCAGAGCTTCCTCACAGTGAAGCTCTTTAAACTCACCACGCTGAGAGCTGCAGGGGACCAATCGGAGCCCAGCAGCAGTCCTGCAAACATGCACGTGCGTTTTGAGGATGGCCACAACAAACAAACCACTGCCTCCAGCCTGACTCCTCCACAATAAAAGCACCTCTTATGCAGACACAAGTCTGCATTTTGCACAGAAAATAGTGGTTGTAATTGAAACTGTGAGCCGAACTTCACAGTTAAAGCTCCAACTTTAGTTAAAAACAACTGCTCGTGTTTTTGATGTTTGCCGAGAAAACGTTGTCAGATTTTATGAAACTGAAACTCAGCGCTAGTTAAATCCTCTCCTCAGCCGAGCACAGACCCAACTTTAAACACAGCTCGGTCTGCTCAGGCAGCGCTTTGGAGGACTCACCAGACTCCGTTTAAAAAAGATACGATTTGATCTAAACCTGATATGGACAGCCATCTCTCGAAGCCATCATGGAGAATGTTTCCAACATAACTCAGCTCTGTAGTTCGGCCGATAAATAAACCTGTCATTGAAACAACTTCAATTAAAAAAAAAACTTTTTTTTAGTTGGATTTATAGTTTACATTAAAGTAAAACAAGCATAAAACCCGAGTGTGAACATATCCACGAACCCACCTGAGCTGAGCGAAGAACCTGCAACCAGGGCCTCGGTCAGGCGGGGAGGGGGAATCACCGTGAGACCATCCGGGTCCACCTGCAGCTCGGCTCCGTGTGTGAACAGCGTGCAGAGCAGAACACTAGGAACCGGGGCTGCGTGTCACCTGCGCCCCTACATATGACAGAAGTAGCCCCACAGGTGACGTGTTTCAGCCTGTGACACACGCGGGAACGAAACAGAGGAGACTAACATTGTCACTGGCGCGAGGAAGACACGGACCGTCGTGAAGCGTTCGCAATTATTTATTTATCGGTAATTTTAAAATGTCATAAAATGTATTACTGTTATTTTCGTCATGATCTGGTGAAACAGCGCCCCCACCCAGGCATTCTGTTCCCTTCAGGCGGAGAGTGGTACTGCGGCGCTCTCCGTCCACATCGTGTAGACGGGAGAAGCGGGAAAACGGATAAAATGGCAGCTGTATTTAAAGAGGAGCTCTCAGATGGATGATGTGTTGGCCGAATTACAGAATAGGACCTAATACTTCCAGAAAAGCTCGCGAATCTCATTTATTTTTTACATCTGCTCGGAAACCCGCGCCCGAGCTTTTCACTACGCCGGCTTTTGAGCGTAGTTCCGCTGATACGGTCATCATCAGCTCACAGAGGAGAAACGGCGGGAAGAACGGTACTGTCCTTCAAATTAAAAGTCGCCAACTCAACAATTTTCAATTTTCTACCGACATAAAGTCGCTGATCAGCGGGGTTGTTGGATCATGTCACGGGTTTAATATTTCATACTGATTAGAAATCTGACAGCTGGAAGAAAACAAATCCACAACCTCAGGCGACAACACCCGGAGGTTGTTTCAAAATAAAAGTTGCAAAACCATCTCTTGGCTGTTCAGTTTCTGAGGTCTGTGGTTCGAGTCCGTCCTTCCAGCCCTGCCTTTCCTGACTTGGATGATATTTAATAATTAATGATGAATTTATTTTGGCTGAGATCAATAATTCAGCACTGTTTCACTAAAATCCATCTAGTTATTGTTCAAAGCAACAAATGTTCAGCTTCTTCACATTATAAATGTTACCTACATTTTTAAATTTGTTTTTTAACTAATGAACTTTGCTGTTCATACATTTTATTTTGGCTTCCTCGTGCTTTGTAAATGTGATCTCTACCTGAATGTAATTCTCACTTTAAATAAAGATGTAATTTAACCCTGGATTCACATGTAGTATTCTTAATGGTTCATGCTGAGAACTTGGCTCATTTAATCCCACAATAACTGCCATGATGCCACGTCTCGCTTGGAAATCTCGTCTTAAGGGTGTCATGAAGCGCTACACTTGAAGGCTCATTTACCCCGGCGTGGACTCACAAACACACAAGCACCATTGCGCCTCCTTCAGGTGTTTAAATGCACCAGTACCTGTGCACCCTTCTCACGCTCCCATATTTCATGTTAATAATATATTTTATTGTGTTGTGGGCTGGAACAACATCAGAATTTTGAATGTTATTTTCTTCTTTTGCTTCATTTTATAAATAAAAAAGAGAAACTTTTTTTTTTTTACAGCTTTTATTTTTTTAAACAGATCGAGCAGCTTTGGCAAAGAGTTTTTCTTTTAACAGTCATCACCGTAAAGCTTTCAGTCAGAAGGCTTCTTCAGCTACTGCAACAGCCACTGTAGCAAAGATAATAATAACAACAACAATAATAATAATAATAATAATAACAAACAGCTGAAAACATCATCAAAACACAATATCCCCAGTATATACAAATAAACCAATGACACTTGAGCTTCATCACACAAACACAAAGCATCATGACTTCGATATAAACATGAATATTTCTCCTTCTGGTCCAAATATGTGTCTTATTTATTTTGAGCATTTTATTGTCGTCGGACTCTGATCGTCCCCATCAGGAGTATTTTAGCTGTGTCCAGCAGATGGAGCCAGTCAGTCAGAGGAAACAGATATTTCTCCGTTTTGAGTAAAGTACGACCTGTGATTGAAAATTCTAGTTTGAGGTTTTTAGACTATGAAGTCCTCCTCCACTTCAAACTACTCAGATATAATAGGAAATTACTGATAATTAGCGAGGACTCCACCCCTTACTGGACTCCCACTTCCATGTTTTTCCACTGGAATATTTGCTGGAAAAGCCCAGCACAGGCTACTTTGTGGAAGTCTGACTGTGTGCTGCCCTCTGCTGGTGAAAACTGAACATACTGTTGTTGTCATGCAGAGCTCACAGACGTCACATCACTGATCATTCTACAGAAAAACCACAGCGAAATCCGACTGCTGAAGATAAAGACGTCATAACAAACTGGAGACTGTTAGCTGCTTTTACAAAAGGCCACAAAAATACGTCATCAGTACAAATTTAAATTACTGCAAATTTGATCTTTTCATCTCAATGTTTGGAAGCAAACAAACTGCAGACTCATCAACTCAACAATACTAGAGGTCCACTTTGTGACGGAGTTACTGTCAGCATGAAGACGTAACGGAAGCTATTTTTTCTCCACCTGTCCACCGCCAAGTCGTAGACGCATCATCCTAACGTATTCTGAACAAAAAGGTTTTGATGCATTGCAGAAAAATGGAAACACTCCAGAAACCTGCACAGTTTTAAACGTCTTCAGACCAACAGCTCAGAAGAAATCAAAGCACGCTGTCTAATTCATGTCCAAAAAACATGGAGGAAGTCTCGGAAAATTGTTCAAAACATCAGTTCTCATGCAGCAATTCAAAGACTCACAATATAAAGAATGACAGAAAGGAAAGCTTAAAGAAGAAATGTTTGCATCACTGCACCGTTATCCTTTGGGGGTGAAGATCGCTACTACGCCCAGCATTGTTTTCTTTCTATCCGTCTTTGGATCTGAAGTTCCAGAAAATGAAACAGGAAGTGAAGGCATCATGGTGACCTCAGGTTTGTGTGTTCGGTGTCAGTTTGTCTTTATTTCACTCGGTGCGGTTCTTCACGCCACAGAGGAACATAACCGTCCTCCAGCCCTCTGTGAGGGTCTCCAGACCCTTCCAAATCTACCACCTAATCAAACAGCAAGCAGTAGGAGAGTGAGCTCCCCCTGAGGGGGTCAAAATTCAACTGTCAGTTATCAAGGCCACTTGAGAGAAGCACAAGTTTTCCACTTGTAGGAAAAGCAGGACTATGATGCCTTCAGTGTCTTCAGGAAGTATGGGAAGGATGACTCGACGTTGTTCTCGGATTGTGAAAGTGATGCTGTCACAGGGGAAGTATGCAGGAGGGCTTTTGGTTTAAGTCCTCATTGGGTAACCTTGTGTTGAAGTTACTAAAAGTAATGATCATAAAGAACTCCTTCGGTCTGTGGAACCACGGAGGATCTGGGGCCTTGGAGAAGTTCCCCACTTTGGTAGGTTGGTAATCTAGCCTTGTTCATTGCTGCCAGAAACACTTTGGGATGATTTTGTTGAACTGTCAAGACGTCAGGTATCTTTGATGAAAGCAGATTTATGATAAACATCACTTCCTGTGAAACGTGTCGGTTGAATGAGGATCCAAAAAGGCCTGTGCTGTGTCAGGAAGGAACATCCAATTATTTCTTCTGCATTGTGTGGAGGAAGTTACTGCACAGTCTTGGCTGCTGTATACAGGCTGAAGGAGCAGCCGGTTAACGTAACGAGGAACTATGTGTTAATCAAACTCGTTTCCTGATTTCAGAGGGCTGAAAAAAGTTGTTTTACAGCAAAATATGGGACAGAAAATCTTGCAGCAGTAAACGGCACATAAAGATAGAGCTACGCAGGTCCTTGACTTCTGTTGGAGGGACATGACCAAAGTTCATCTGTAGCCAAACAAGGAATCAGGCTTCTTTGGGTTCATGAGATATTCAGAGGCATCACTGACGTTTTCTATGCCGTAGATCCTTTTTTGTAGCTGTGCCGTTAATCTCCCAGGGTCCCGACGGGTTTCTAAAAGCTGACATCATTTCTGTTGTAAAAGTTAAAAACATGCTTTTATCTATTTGCTGAAAATCACCATCAAAGCAAAAGATGTTTGTAGGACTGACTTCGTGCCCTGAGTGCCTCGAGAAATCATCCTGCAGTGTCTTAATATGAAAACAGAACAAACGTGTGATGTTAAGAGGCAGTTTGTTTGATGAACTGCTTCAGCTTCCAGCTCTCAGGTGTAATGGTGGGTCCCAAGTTCCTCCTGTTAGCAGAGACCAGCTTGACCAGTTCGACCGAGGAAAGGCCTGGAGTCCATTTCCCTTTATGAACTTCCATGCACTACTCCTCAAATCCTCAGTGTTTGACTCCTGGAAGTTTACAGCCATGCTTAGAACAACACAATCACTTCAGGTAGGATATTTCACCAAGATGCCCACGCAGCCTTTGTTCAGCCCGCTGAGAAGTTATCGTCTTCTTCATAAAGTGTCGA